TTACAGTTATTCCCAGTCTTGAAGTCTTTTTCGAGTTGTGTTAGGTCTGCGGCTACACAAAGGTTTATTTTCTTTAGGATGTCAGTGTTGCGTGACTCTCTCCAGATTGTGCCCCTGAAGGATGTTGAATTGGATGACGACTGGAAGCGGTTTGCCATCATCCCTCAAGCGTCCCACTCTGTGCACCGTGTCAACGATGAAACCCAGCTTGTTTTTTTCATCTGGTGCAATCTGGCTCAATATCTGGAAGACGTCCTGCCTCACGTTTTCATTTCCTTTTTCAGGGACGTTGATTAGACGCACATTCCATGATTTCTGAAAATGCTTTTTCATTTGAAATATGGTAACGATTTGCTTCCATAATAAACTGTTTCATCAAAACATGCTAACGCTCATGCTTGTGTATGTATATATATATATATATATATATGTGTTTTAACAATGTATTTGAATGTAATGTAATGTAATGTATGTATTATGCCTCCAGCAAAGCACATTCACATGAAAATTACTCTGAATTAAAAACACTGATCATTTATTGAACAGGATGGAATAATTTCAGATTTAAAGAACTTTCAGAAGTTCTGAATTCTGAATATGACCGGGCTTTTCCTTTAACATTTTTCCTGAATTATTTTTGTACTTTCAGTAGTTTTAAAAATGGTCCTTTTACAGCTTTACTGTAGTAAAAAGCTGAACTTGATACCCTAACAAAGGTGTTTTTTAACAGTAGGATTTCTGCTTCTTTTTGAGTGATAAACATTGGCTGCATTCATATCTATGAGATGCATCCTCCGAAGACGAGATTCGAAGGTAGATTACATCATAGCATGGCGCCGAGGTCTGGTCTAATTCCAAAACTCCTCGTTATGCAGCCTAAACATTCCTCCTTTTTGCCCGTTTTGAAGGACGGGTCCAGTGTGTCCTATCTATACTCGTCACCCAGGATTCATTGCGAGACGGAGCAAGCCGGCTGCTTCTTGATCAGAAGAAAAAGTTACATGTCAAAGAACAGTGGGGAAATGAATGAAAATAGTTGTTTTAATGGTTATTGAGTCAGATATGTGGTGGTAATGTTTGATTTATCTAAAGGTTTTATCTGTTAGTGTGTAAATGGGTTTGGCTGGAATTTAAGCACAGATTCTAATTTATTATAATGTGGGAACTACAAATCAGAGGATTTTTATTTTTTAATTAGTAATTGCAAGTATCTTTTGTCGTTGAATATATATATTGAAGATATATATTTCTACATACATTGTTAAGATTGACTTATATATTTCTACCCCTTTTATAGAATAGAATAGAATAGAATAGAAAATCCCTTTATTGTCCCACAATGGGCAAATTTACAGCAGCAGAAAGATTATTGAAAATGGTCACACAAATGTGGACCTTAGAAAAATGTCTAAGAAAAACATAATAGGTAAGAGTTAAAATATAAACAATAAAATACTGTAAAGTGTTTTAACAATATAAAACTGTTCACCTACAGAATAAATAACCAATATGCAGCTATGGACATTTTTTACAGTAATGGATATTTGAAAATAGCAGCAACATCAGAGATGTGCAAAATGAAAGCAGCATGTTATGTAACTGACTAAGGTTTCTATCATTACATTTGATTTTATTTGTTCCTGCTCCTGCTGGTTGGAATCTACAGTCATGCCCAAAAGTATTAAGACACAAATATTATATTTTCACATGATCTGCTGCCCTCTGGTTTTCATGTGTGTATGTCAGATGTTGTCATCACATACAGAAATACAATTGCAATCATATTATGAGTAACAAACGGTTACTCATGAAGCGTAGGTGGCTGTGTTGATGCCTGACGAAGAAAATATTCCTAACGTGACAAAACTGTTCGCCAAAACATCATCTGACATATCTAATGAATGAATTTCTGTTTTGTTTTTTTCACATTAGAATGATGTGGCAAAGAACTTGTATCCACAGAAAAGCAGATAGTGCAAAGAATCCCACACAGAGAACAGCGTCGTTCACAAGTATAAAGAAAATACAAATAAAAGTCTGTTTCACATGGAGTCATTTCTTCTGCTGAACCATAAGCTAGAAATAAAAACCTGCAGCTTGGACAATAAAGTCCGCCCACTTTATAAATTCCTGAATGTAAATATAAATCCATTAAAGAGGCCTGTCATTCTGAATGCACGCGTGTGTAAGCAGCACCTTTTCAAGAAAAACTGACTGCAGACTGAACAATTGGGCTTACCGTCTTTCCAACTATTCACACTTTATTTCTCAAATTGTGACAAAAAGTAATTTTCTTGTTATTAGAGTCCATGTTCATGTTTCCTTTAATCTCCTATTTGGAAACAAATACAAGTCTCTACACTATGGTGTTTTTTTTTTTTTTTTTTTTTTTTTTGTGGACCCCAAAACTCTGTCCCGTATGATGAACTGTATCAGGTCACTAACAGTAGTTTGAGGGAAAAAAAACACCTTTTTTTATTGCTATTGTGTTCAGTCTGTTTCTAATATCCAGTTATGAGACCATAACGGGCTGCTGCTGAACTGGTTTTACTGCCCCATATGTACAAAGGGGGTCAAATGTATTTATTTAGGCGCTTTGCAGCTATTAGAATCTGAATCGCGTACCTGTTGATATGGAAACTTTACTTTTTATGTTTTCATAGTAGAATTTAAATTCCACAGTTAGCAGCTACCGCTATGGTGTGGGTATGAGTCGCCATGACTGCTTGATGTTTTGTCTTGTAGAAAAATGCAGATATTCTTAAACGGTGAATTAGTTTAATTTGTGACAAACGGTGTCCACAGCAAAGCTGTTTGGAGAGATTAGGTGGCTGTGTGGTTGAATAATGTTAGGGTTCCAGTTTGTGTGGGTTGTTTTTCTGTGTTTTTCCTCTCCCCACCACCAGGCGGTGCCCTGTCCTCATTGGGCCTCCCTGAACACCTGCGGCTCGTTGGGTCATTACCAGAGGAGTACTTGAGCTGCGGACTGTCACCACTTCGACGCCAGAGTGTTTGCCAGTATCGTGTACTCTAGCCTTACTGAGATTAGCTGAGTCAAACGTTTGCCTTGTCTGTCTGAGTCTAAGCTTTGCCTTTGTCTTTGTTCTCCGGTAGGATGCCCTCCTGATCCACTGGATAAGCCTGGTCCTTCTACCCCCCTTGGAAGGAAGTAATTCGAGTCACACTGAGCAAGGGGAAACCTTCACCAGATCTGTTCAAGCCCACTTCAGGAAAACCCGGTGACAGTCTGCCTGTCCGCCCTCCAACGAGTTAATTCCTCTCTGGTTTAACCCCCCCCCAAACTGGACCCAAGGGAAACCTAGAATCCCCCTAACTTGAGTCTTCTCCAGCAATTCACCAGTCTCAGTCATTTTCCCTACGGACCTTGAACTGATCTTTGTGATCTCCCCTTCAGAGTTTCCGGTTCCGGTTCACCAGACCGCTGAAGTCCCACTGAGTTCACCCTGCATATTATATCTCTTTCTGTTTTTGTCAACCTCTCAATAAACCAGTTTAACTTTTCCCCTGGCTCTCTGAGTGAATCTCTGCATGTGGGTTAGATCTTTAAAACCCATCATGACCCATCATTGTTCTTTTTTTTTTCTCCAGTTCTGTACAGGTTATGTAGAATTTGAAGCTGTGGTTCTATGTGTCATTACAGGTGTTCAAAAAATTAAAAGGTTTTGTAAATTTACTCTGAAAATTAAACAAAAATATATGGATGTTCAAAAACTTAAAGTGGTACTTTTAAATACTTAAATACTTTTGAAGTCATGTACTTTTGATCAATTCTTCTATACTTCAATTTGGGTAGATGATTGACCAAGTAACTTTTACTTGCAGTAGAGTAAGATTTGACTATGAGCATCAACACTTTTACTCCAATTCTATAGTTGAATGCTTCTTCCATTACTCTTAGTACCTAGAATAGACACCTGTACCAACCCGTATCCTCCCTCTGGATCAGAACCTTTCTTACCATTACTTTTTTTAAGGCAGTTTGTTATCATTCCAGCTCTGCAGCTGGAAACTATTATTAGCTGAATCTGTATTCCCAGTCCCTGTAAAGGCCAAAGCTGTTCCACACACCAGTAACAAACTTAATACAGTCTCAAAAGTTAACAGGTTCAACAATTATTCTCAACAATATAGTATTTGAAATTTTTATATAATACATAAGCTGTTACATTTTCCAACACTGTTGACATAACTGTGTGTTCTGTATTGGTCTTACCAGCTTTAATGCATACAGCATGCAATCATTGTAACAGCTAATCCTTATCTTGTGGGTGCTGATGATGAATAATTATTTTTCCTTCATAAACCCATATTTTTGGTGGGTTTTTGCAAATGTGTTTGATAATCTATGGAAACAAGGCACCCAGATGTTAAGTGCATAACAAATATAAATATGGGAGTACCTCACGATCAGGAGAACTTGTTATAGGAACAAAACAAAACTATAGTCCCCAGCTGAGGTTTTAGGAACTAAACAGTATTGTCAAATATTTGATTTACAAAGAGAATAGAAATTGAGATTTGTTTCATAACTCTGATCATAACTTTAACTAATTCAATATAGGTAACGCAAAAGAAAAAAAATTCCCCATGTCCCCTAGGGGGCTCCGTAGAGATGGACTTTAACACATCAAAAAAAAAAAAAAGGAGAGGTCTTGCCCTTGAGCTCCTAAACGCCTCTGGTAAAGGCAATTTAAACATTTAAATAAAAAATATGCAGTTTTCAGCCCAACCAATGTTACACACCCTATTCAGAGACCTGAAGGACCAGATACCCTATAGAATCATTCTATCATTATATATATA